CCCCAACACCATCAACAACCTTAACCCAGACCTCCAATCTCCACCAAAAAATGACCAAGAAGTCCCACAGTGGGTGCCATCCCCTAAAACATCTAATACCACACCCAGTTGCTCACCACCTTGTGCTGCCCCATCACAAACTCATCCATTACCAAAGTGGCTGATTTTTTTTTTAAAAGTTGTTTTTAAGTTTTTTTTTTTTTTGTAAAAAGAGAAGAAATGAATTGAAAAAACAAAGTGGTTTATATATAAGCAAATAGGCCAAAATGACATCATATAAGACCCTCAGGGTCCGCATGCCAACCCACGGGTTGACCCAAAACTCGCATGCCCGACCCGTCATAACTCCCTCAGCCACAACCTAAAGTGATCCAATTGAACCAATATCGAATCGGGCTAAGCAGCTGAACCATGTGAAAATTGATCCAAACCGCCCATGAACTACCCAAACCACACATAAACTGCCCAGACTACATAAATTGGCTGAATCATTAACTAAATTGTTAACTGGTATGGTTCAATTTTTTTATTTTATTTTTTTATTTTTTTATTTATTTATTTTTTACTATTATTATTTGTTTTATACATTTGTGTTCCAGAATAATTTTTTTATTTTATTTATTTTAAAAAAATAATAAAGTTTAAATTTTTAATAATTTTAAATTCCATAAAAAATTTTAAAACAAAATTTTTTCATAAAAAAATAAAATTAACTAAAATAAGAATAAAAATAATTAAAAATAAAGAAAGAAAATTCTTATCTGATGATGAGATTTTAAGGTATTCCGAATAATGATGCCTACGAAATCTCTAGGTATGAAAATTGTTTTTAAATACTACCAACATATTGAAATAAAATTTTTGCTAAACTAAAAACTATTAATAAAAATAAAAATTAACTAAAAATAAATAAAAATAACAAAAAATTATGGAAAAGAAAATTTTGCCTAACAATGGGATGTTAAGATATTCCGAGTAGTGATGTCTTAAAAATCTCTAAGTGAAAAAAAAATTTAAAATACTACAAATATATTAGAGTATTTATAAAATTTTTTCAATATTATAAAAACCTCTATTTTCTTTTAAAAATAAATAATAATTAAAAAACTAATAAAATTTTAAAAAATAAAATAAAATGTGTGCATTAATATATTATCATTTGTACTACAAGCATGTCTTTATTTTTATGAAAAATAAATATAAGCCTTCAAAGATAAGATTCTAACATATTTCAAGAAGTGATGCCTAAAAAATCTCTAGGTAAGGAAAAGTTTTTTTAATGTCACCAACGTATTAGAATATTTTAAGAATTATTTCAATAAAAGGGTTTCAATTTATTTTTCTCGAATAAAACAAATAACAAAAAAAGAAAAAAATTGATAAATAAAAAAAATCAAGGATTATTTTTTTCAAACACCAAAACTAATATCGTTTTTGTCAAGATTAATGGATAACATGTAATTAATTGATACCATTTTAAATGAGCACTTTGGGGATGCTAATCCTTCGCCATGTGTAATTGACTCCCTGACCCAAACTGTTTCATAGATCCTAAAATTATTTTTTTAATAAATTTTAATTAATTTTAATATTTTATTAAAATGATATGTTTTAATAAGTGACCAATCACATTTAGGCAAAAAAGAATGGTGACGACTCCTTTTTATTTTCAAATTCGTCTAGCAATCCCCAAAATCGTTATGACACATCTGATTCCTTATGGTAACCAAATCCTCTAAATTATTTTATGTAAGATTCAAATGCACTTTTTCTAGCAACTTTGATACAAAACCAATAGATAAGCAATCCTCTTTCTTTTGCTGAGTCTTCTTGGACCATTCATGCACTCATTGTATGATTCACATGGGGTACTTACAGAAGAAGAACATATCCATAACACTGTGGGATCCATGAAAAGAAACTTTGCTAAAAGATGTCTTGGAACAAATACCTTACTATATTATTATAGTATACCAATATAATTTATGCAACAGAAATACAAGAAGAGAAACAAAAATGATAAGTTAGTATATAAAAAAATGGAAATAATAAATAGTAATAAAAGCTTGAAATATGAAAAAGACAAAAAAAAAGTTTTCTCTTTATATTATCTTTAGAAAAAGAAAAGGAAATGAGACAAAGATATTATTTTTGTTTTCAAGAAATCAAAACAAATAAGAATACATAAATTTATGATTTGCTTTAGAAAAGTATTAAAATACAAATATTCCCTTACTTGTCCTAATTTTCAGGGATGATTTACAAATGGTGGACATGGCTCTACCAAGGGTTAGCTCTTATAGCTTATTATATGCTTGGTTCGAATTTTATTGTGTCTAAAAAGCTCCCAAATTACTCCTCACTGACATTCAATTTGGACTAGTAAAACACCTTGATCCTCATCTATTATAAGTTATAAACAAAAATTATTCAATTTGAGTTTTAATTTGAGTGAAAGTATTTTACTTGTCATTGCGAAAGTTATTATCTCACGAGAATATAAATACTTTACTCCCTCTTAAAAGGGTTAAAGTTCGGGTATAGAGCTCATGTATGATATGAATATATCATGTGTGATTGAGGGAACAGAGTATTATAATCCTTATTCTAAGTACCTCATAATAACTACAATAACATATACAAACCATAAAATAAACAAGCAAAAATAAATAAAGTAATAAATGAATCGTTAGAATGAAATGCAAATTATTATTATTATTATTATTATTATTATTATTATCAATATTATAAAGAACAAAATTAAGGAAATTAAGGTTAGATACTAATTAAGACCGTTAAATTGAAATTAAAAATAACACATCATTAACCTTTTGCCATACTCTCTAAAAAAATAACGTCTCTAATAGAATTGTCAGTTGTCATAATAGTTTTGGGGATCACTAGATGAATTTGACAAACAAAAAAGAGTCGTTACTAATTTTTTTTAGCTAAATATAATTAGTCACTTATTAAAACTTATCTTTTTAATAAAAATTTTAAAATTAAATAAAACTTTATCAAAAAAATAATTTTTTGGTTTACAAAAAAATTTTGGTTTCAAAATTGGTTATGCATAAGAAAAAATTAACATCCTTACTATGCTCGTTAAAAAAAATTATTAAATTAATCATTAATTATCTTTTAATTTTGATATTTTAAAAAATTAATTTTTTTTTCTTTATTGAGAAGGAACTACCTTTTTCTACCAAATTTCCTTAAAAGCTGTGACCTTCCTTTCCTTCGATCAAGTTCCAACCTTTCCTTCAAGCTTTTCTTTTCGTGTGCTTTTTTTTTTTTTTTTTTTTTTGCCGCCGAACCTCTCTTTGTCTTCCTTCTTTTTTTTTTCTTTTTGCCTTCTTTTCTAAGCACTTTCCCTTGTCACTTTTTTCGCTTCCTCTGGTTCCTTTTTTTTTTTGTTCTTATAATATCTTCCTTTTTTTTTTTTGTTTTCTCCTTCCTGCAAACTCTCATGTTTTTCTTTTTTCTTTTCCTCGCTTTCTCCTCCTCCTTCTTTCCTTTCTTTTTTTTCTTCTTTGAATCGCCCTCCCCCTTTTTAAACTTCAAACCAGCAACCTCCCTAGCAGAAACTGCTGAATGCCTCATCCACTACTTGTACCAGCCCACTAACCGTTGTCGTTTTCTCTACAGGTTTTTTATGTGCTAGTACCACAGACTTTTCCATCTCTTTTGTGGCAAACCAGCTTACTTATAGCTGGTTGTCTCCTAGTGTATCAAATTTCACGTGGTAAAATGGGATCCTTTTATTTTAAAGCATTGTTCACATGGACTTTAAGCTTTCTAATCATGTCCATTTCTTTTTATTGTCTTGGGATTTCATTAAAATGAGTTTTTCATTCCTATTTTTATAAAAAGGGTCCATGCTGAGTAGCTTATGTTTTGAGTCATTTTTAACGATGCAATTTGAGTTTCTTTTTTTTTAATTCTTTTATTATTATTTTTTTAATTGACCTAAAAATAGTCATATTAAAATTCTTATTCGACTTCTAAATGGGCCTTTTAAAACGAACTATGCATAGGTATTGATTTGACAATCAATTAAGCATGTAATTAGACTCTTTTTCAGGTTTAATGGGCCTTGATTGGGCCCCATTTTTTTAATAATTTTGCAAGTCAAAAATCAATCACTGTTAAATCATTAATTTTAGTTTTTGTTTTATACCTACAACACGGCTCAAAATCAACAGTGTTAAATTATTTCAGATAAAATTATATTATAATCTAAATTGATAAAATAAAATTAGTATTTATAATTAGTAAAACTAAGTGTTTGAGGGTTTAACTAAATCACACAAAAAATTTAAGATTTGATTAATTATAATAAAATATCAATGATTTAAATTATTGTTGAATTTTATTTGAAAGTTTTTTTTTTTACCCTTATGCCATTTTTTTTAACTCATGTACTAAATTAAACGTTTTTCGACAGTTCTGGCGGGAGTTATAGATAATATTATCTTTATTTTATTTTATTTTTAGACAAAACAAAGTATAACCACCCCCTACCCAAAATTTAGGTGGCCAAGGCGCTTGAATTTTTAGTGGTACGTCTCGATGGAAAATCTTGACATGCAATAGTCGTCTTTGTAATTACTTCTCAAGTCCAACCCTGAAAGGAACTTAATGGCAATTTCCTCGACCAGGCACCTGATTAGCCTTGGAGTTTCATGCTTTTATGATTAAATCCCAACTGACAACTGTAGACTGTAGTATGGTTTTTCAAAGAAGGGGGTAAATGTAATCTAGGTCTCCCTTCTTTTTCACTTTAAATGATATAAGAAAATAATGGAAAAGACAAACAAAAATACGGTTTTATGTAGGATAGATTCAAAACAAAATTATGTTAATCAAGGAAAAAAAAAAGAGATAGTAACAAAGTTGGACTTTGAGCTGTAGTGATCCAAATTCAATTTCAGATAGTTAAAATAAAAAAATAAAAAAAGGAAAGAGCGTCAACATATTTGTTGCAAACAACAGTTTCATAGTCAATAAATCCCATTCAGATATAACAAGTTCAATAGTAGCTTTCAATTCTGTTAACTCAGGCACTACATTCCTTTCTTTTCTTCTTCAAATTTGTTAATGGAACCCATTTGTTGCATTTTTATGAGTGAACAAGAGATTGGATTCAGTTACTGTAAGGCCTAAGACATGAAGAGAGGAATTTGGGGTCAGTCCACCGCTTGAGGTGATGAACAGCATTGTGTATCTTCAACTGATATTTCAGTCGCATCATCGATGGCAACAGGACTTATTCCCCTTTCAACTTTCTGTCCGCCACCATTTTTTAACATCTCTCTTTCCAAGTGGAAGCAATAGCTCTCGAAGACTCGGGAGCTAACTGTGACTCCAAAATCCAATAGGAAAAGTAGTTCTAGTTCTAGCCTGTTCAGTTCAGCATTGCTCACTCCTCCGACCCGAGCAAAGAAGGCATTGTTATAATGCCTGCATTACCAACAACCAAATAAAATTTAAAAACAACAAGAACAAAAATAGCTGTTACATGATTGTTTCATTTGTCATGGGAAACAGAAAAAGGGTTGTCAGTGTAGGGCAGGGGCAAAGGCACAAGCTATGGCCCTTACATCATCTATTTTTCACCTAATTTTCTATGTACAAAAAATACAATGAATTTGAACCAAAACTCATGCATTTTTGTCTTTTCATCCATTAATCCCATTACTCCAAAGAGCCAGAAAAACTAAAACTTAAAGAAACCGCATTTTATCAGACAATGAAATGCTGCATTTGTTAGTTGAATCGCGTGACTAAGATTAACCAACATCAAAGATAGCCCATTTTTACTTCACAAAAAGAAGACATAAGAATTAGAGCAGCCCACTTTTCCTTCACAAAAAAGAAGACATAAGAATTAGAGCACTTACGCATCATCAAGAATCTTAGAAGCAACCATGACACTGGCAACCAGCAATCTATGCACATTCAAGGATATGACGAGCGAGTCAGGATGTTTATGCGCAAGCCTGTCTATAAAAACATATCCTACCACAAAGCAGGAAGGGCTACAATTTGTGTACTTATATATCCTCTCCAAGTACTTTGTTATGCTTATATTTGGAGCCCTAACGCCATCAAAGGCATGCAAACTTTTCCCTAGCCAGGCAGAGCTACCATTGAAGTTCAACCCATCTAGCTGCTCCCTCAGGACCTCAACAAGCCTGTCGTTTCGGGCTACTAGCTTTTCTAGCACTGTAGAAATTATGGTCAGGACTCTTGGCGTTGTCGTCTCGGTATCCGGCTGCCGGATTTGGTGGGTGGGATAGTCGTCAGTGGCTAACATTTAATCCATTGTGAAGAAAAGTTTTGGAGACATTTGGGTGGTTAAGAGCCAATTGTTTGACTAGTGTTCATAACAGATGCTACAAAAGTTTGTGATTGATTTTTTATGTGAATAAGAAGAGGGAGTTTGTTTGGATGGTGGAGATGCCAGGCTCGTGGCTGGCTTCGAGTGATTTTGAGCCGCTAGATTTAACTTGGCTCCACGCGTGGATAACAGAAGATTGAGTTTACTTGGATAGCAACAATTCGTTCGAATGCGTAGTGGACGCTATCATATTGGCTCCCTTTCAATTACTTCTTGTTGCGTAATAAAATTAAACCTAATAATTTAGACAAAGATTCAATGATTAGATATAAAAATTATATAAAAAAATCATATATGTATTTAATAAAAATATTTTTTTGTTTTTATTCATGTCAATAAGAGTTTCGATATAACATAATTTGTATTTTATACGTATTAATACATCTAAATATATAATACAATATGAATAATACATTTGATTTAATCTTATTATATGAATATACGTTTAATATGTTGAACATATTTTTTATATTTTAATACATTTTTATATTTATTTTAATTTAATATAAACATATAATGATTATTTTATTTTTTAATCTTTTAATTGTGATACTTAATTAGTTATTTAATAATATATAAAAATTATTAAAAATATTTAATTATGATAGTCATTTAATTATTATAAATTATTTTTTATAATAATAATATAAATATAATATTAATATTAATATTAGTCTTATACATTATTATTTTATTCTTTAATCTTTCATAATTTATCATTACAAATTTGATACAAAAAATTAATATAGTTATGTAATATATATTAAAATTTAAATATATATTAAATACATATTAAATGGGTATTAATTTTTTATTTTTTAATATATATAAGTACTTTTTATATTATTAATATGTCAAATTTATTAAGTGATAAATGATATATAGTTTATAATTATTTATTACTTTAGTCATATACTTATATATATTCGTATTAATCGTGTCTATTTGTATATATCTGTATTAATCGTGTTTGTTTATATATATCCGAGTTATTTATGTTTATTCGTGTTATATTTAAACAGATTAATTGTACACATATTAATTGTATCATATCACGTGTAATTGTATAATAAATGTTTCGTATTCATAATTTTAAAATTTAAATATATTTTATAATTCTTACCATGTTTATTTTAATAATTAACTTCATTACATACGTCAAATACAATATGAGACATGATACAAAAATAAGAATTATTAAATCTAAATAAAATTTAGAAGATAACCCATTGAATTTTTTTTAATGAGTTGCAAATGAAATTTTTTAATAATTAAAAATTGTTAATACGTTTATTTTAAAATTTGCTCAATAAAAAATATTGAATAAGATAAATAGATAAAGATTTACATATTACCTAATACAAAAAAAAATTCAATAATTTTTTTTTATTTTAAACTACTATCCTTTAAAAATATTATTTTATTATCTACAACAAAAATAAAGTAAAATTATAAAATGATAAATTTTTAGAATTTAACATTTTATCATTTTTTTTATTATTTTGATCTCTAATCATGGTTTTTGAGTATATTTTATGTTGGTTATCAACCTATTACAACCTTCTTGCTTTATTCAGGATTGAGACTAGCAATGTAGTAACCCATAAGAAAAAAGATAATTAACATAGTTAAAAATATGTATGAAAAAATTATAACAAATATGAGGATGATTATAAGAGTGACTAATAACTTTCCCAATACCTCAAATTTGCATCAAAGTTCAACACTAAGTTCTTTTTTTTTTTTTTTTTTGTACTAGTTATAAATGAGCTCATTGAACAAATCCAAAATAAGATATCATGGTGTATGTTATTTGCTTATAAATATAATCTTAGTTATTGAAACTAGTGATGATTTCAATACAAAATTAAAACTATTGAAGCATATATTGGATTCTCGAAACTTTAAATTAAGTATATTTAAAACTGAATATATAAAATGTAAATTTAATAATCATAGGGAAGTGAATGCTAACATGATTAAGTTGGATGTTGATATAATACCAAAAAGTACTCATTTTTAATATTTAAGATCAATTATTTAGAACGATACTGAAATAAAAAATGATGTAAATTATAGGATTCAAATAGAATAGGTGAGATGGCAAAGTGTTTGTGTAATTACAACATGCCTTTAAAATTAAAGGTGAAGTTGTATAAAATAATTGTAAAGCTTAGATTGTTATATGAAATTTAATGTTTGATCATTAAGAAACAATATGAAAAGAAAATAAGCATAGCTGAAATGAGAATGCTTAGATAAGTATGTGGTAATACTAGAAGAGACAAAATTAGAAATGAAAAAATTCGAAAAAAAATTAAAAGTAATATCAATTAAGAAAATATAAGAAAAAGTCATTTAAGATGGTTTAGATATATAAAACATAAGTCTATTTGTGCACCAATTAAGAGGAGTGAGATTTTATATTTAGGTAAAATCAAAATTTTTAAAGAGAAATTGCGATAGAGGTGGATGCAAGTAATTAAAAATAATATGAGTTAAGAAGTAGATAAAAAGGTTGTTGTTGATAAAAATATGTGGCATATGAAAATTTAAAATTATGATTTAACATGATTCTTTTTTTGACCTTTCATATAACCAGCTCTAAAGTTATGTGATATCAAATTTAATGTGTTTTTGCAATATTTTACCTTTTTTATCTAATGATATATTTATACATAGCATTCAATTTTTAATAAAATACCAAATAATTTTGATAGTTAATACTTATTAAGTTCAGTATTAATTTAGTACTTAATTTTTTAATTTGTCAAATATAAATTTTTACTTTTTATTGATGTTATTACGTGGCATTTACAGCATCTGGACTTTATTCTTGTGCTATCTAGACATGCTTAAGAACTGGTTGTCTCCAAAGATGACTGTTAGATTAAATCTTGCTCCAACTGAGAAGAGTACATCGTGAAGGCTTTGAAAAGTGGCATTACAGACTGGCCGCAGTGGCAGGACATAGGAGTTTGCAACATCGATCTGGGTAGTTAAAGCTGCAATTTGTTACCATCAATGGTTGCGGCGACAGTGCTGCTCTTTCCTTTCTAAATTGGCGGTTGTGGAGCTGGGACCTTCCCACACGAGTTCAGCATATATATGATACTTTCACAATCATATAAAACGAAAACCATGGGAAATCCAGCAGTAACTTATATTAACTTTTTTTTTTTTTTCATTTGATGCATGAATGGATGAGGATCTCTCCAGTCCAACTCTTCAATATGCAATCAGCAGACAAGCTTCCTAACATATTTTCAAAACGAAAAAAAAAATGTTGACTCCTCTAAGAGTCGAAGATATCTCCGAATAAGTATGAACGTATTAATAAAAGAATTTTGATATGATCATATATATAATTCAAAAATGAATGATTAAAACCTTTCTTTGGCAGAAAATATGGAGGTTATCAATCATGATGATAGATAAACCCCCCATGAAGCTGTTATCAAAGATAAAATCATTCGGCAATCTATACATCGTGGTCATTAGAAGAAAGTAATTTCACTTCCTCATTGGTTGGATCATTCATGGAGAGCTGAATATTTGACCTGGAGTTCATTTTATTCCACTCATTCTCTACACGGAAGAAAATCCATTGGAAACGGCGGAAAATCTCCAAAGCAGCAATGGTAAACACCGTAAGGTAATTGTGACGGAGATGAGCTGACAGTTTGTACGTCCATGTGCATCGTAGGATCAAGTTGCTTCCTATCACCCAAAAGTAAACCTGCAAATCAATTCCACAGACACATGAGATAATTGAGTGAGCGCCAATGGTCCACTAAGTACACCAGAAAAGTTAACTGGTCATGGAAGGTAAGAACAAGTTTCTTATGGAGTTTGCTTATATTTTAGATATGAAGTTGCATGTAAAAATTGACCAATTAGTTAGGACACATGAATTCTCCAATTCGGCCAGTTTATACCATTGCTGATGCTTAAAGTTCAAGTGTTGAACTAATCAAATTTCTTAAATTGTTGAAGCAGATAAGTATAAAAGCATTGCTCTGACTTTGGTGCTTTAATATGATAGGAATAGCTTACCCATGTTCGTCCATGTAACAGGCGTGAGTAGAGATGTGATTTATTGAACTTGAAAGTTCGAGTGAAGCCACTAGCAGGAAAGAAAAAATATTAATAGCCACATCACTAGGATGATTTATAATTTATAAACTGATTATGAAAGTTTAAAGGGTATTTTACACACCTCAAATCCCAATCTCGTGTCACATCCCAATAAAATGAATATAACGAGTTCAAGACACTTGAAAGAAGCCAGAGAGGCCGATAAAAATTAGTCCAACTATCATGTAAGACATGGTATTTAAGGGCTGAAAGAAAAATCACAGGTACTGCCGTTGAATACTTTAATGCTGAAACCATAAGCAAAAAAAAAAACTTATTATGATCCTGAAACAACAAAATCATATGCAATGCAGATAACTATGAGATCCTTTCCGTTTTTCCCTCAGGTAGGGTGTCATAGTTTCAGGTACAATTTCACTACCAATTAAGATTCCAACTGCTACAAACTTGGAAGAAATTGAAATCCATGACAACCTAATGCTTGTAAAAATTTCTGACCTAAAAACACACTAGTCAAACTTGATATTATAATTTTTCACTGTTGAAGATGTTCTGCAGGTCCAGATTCTGGATTCCAGTTTAAATTATTTTGTCGATGAAATGATGCACAAAACAAAAGGTATTGTGGAAAAATACTTATTTATAACTAGTTGTAATTTTGTAATCTGTATATTTATATTTGTATCTCTAAAATTAAATATTTGTATCCTTAGAATTAAGGACAAAAAATTAAGATAGACAATCCTTCATTTATAGGATCAGTTTTAGGAAGATTTAGTTTCCTAATTTACCCACTAGTTAGTTATATATAAACTTAAGGTATTTGTATAATTATGTATGAGCAGTTTTTCAATATACATTCAGTTTTACTCTTAGTTTTTCACACAATTTTATTTCTTAGTTTTTCCACAAGTATCAAGGTTGAAACAAACATAAATTCAAGACTTTCATTACCTAATTCCATCTAACATTTTTTTGCTGATTTGCAAAGCAGGGAGCTAGCCCACAATTACCAGGAGCACATATTATCACCACATGCAGCTCAAGTGCATTTTAAATTCATGTTGACTTGACAGAACCACAACCAACACATTCATTACCCCACCCAAAAACATGCAAAAGTCAAAACTAAAAGCAAAATGATATAGGGAGGAAGGCAGGTGGTGAAGGAGGAAAACATTAATATTTAGAAAGTTAGTAAGAGATGCACCATTTAAAAGTGTTGATCTTTCACTAGTATCCTTGTATTGTCGAAGACATTGGAAAAACCGAAAAAGGTAAGGCAAAACAAGAACCAAAGGGATTGCAATGGAGTGACTGCCACAAACAGAATCAGCTTCAAACCATGCAATAGTGGCAACCTGCATGAGTAAGAAATCTCTCTCAAAAATACAGAAGGAAAACCTTGTGAGTTTTCGCAGACAACATCCAAGTCAAGTAAGAATATTACAATAATAATATTTTCAAGCTTCCTTCCTCAAGGTTTATAAACAAAAATGTTCTTGTTTTCGTTTTTTTTTTTTTTTTTTAAAGAAGAGAAAAGGATAATTCTGGTTGTTTCCACACTTCAACTCCATGCCTCATTAAACCAAAGCAACCACGTACAAATCCAAAACCATTTGAACACGGATATTGAGAAAGCCACATGATAAATCAACATGATTAGATGAAACATATTTCTATCAAAGGACTATCTAGCATGAAACTACCTATTTAGCTGAAAAACATAGTAAAATTTAATATGAATTCCTCTTACTGTACTCTTCACGTCTATCAGACCCTACAGGACAGTGGAGCATCATTTTGATGGCATTACCATCCACTGTCCCAATAAATCTCATGGAACTAGTATGTTTAAGAACCAAAAAAGCTGTACCCTACATTACAGCTAGTTTCTCTCAGCTAGTACCAAGGATAAGATGGAGCCAGAGTGGTTGAACTTCAAAAAACCAACAAATTAAAGAACCACAAAAATCTTATCAAAGTCAGACCAAAAGGAATATCAGGCATATTTTTGTCCATGTCAAGTGAAGTGATGGTTACGAAGTCACCATGATTTTAAAGGCTCCCCTATCCGTAACATTCATTAATATGAATGACTGAAGCAGCAGTCAATGTTTAAAACAAATAGACAAACCTGTCGATGGACCATTCTACAAATGGAACGTTCCAAATCAGAAAAAACCTGCACAAAGTTTAAAACCATTAAATATCTAGAAGCAGAAATAAAAAGTATTTGCTAACCATCCTTGCTATACACCAGTATTCATGTTTCACATTAAGAAGTCATTAATCCATATGTACAACAAAAAACCATTAAACAGTTACTCCTGAAGCACTAATTATAAGGGCACAAAAATAAATGGCATGAAATCAATTTCAATGGGGCAGTCATCATCTTATTGGAATACAACTATTACAACAACCATAACAACAAATCAAGCCTTGTCTCACTACAAGCGGGTCAGCTACATGGATCATATTGCACCGATTTGCTCATTTTTTAAGTTACATCTTCAGCAACCTAGTTCATGCCACAAGCCTCAATTAGGTGCAATTTCACCAAGCTTTCAGTAGGGTCTCTTTCTCTATGTTAGAGGGTCTCTAGCTCTAAGCATTTGAAAATTTGTTGAGTAGAACACATACCTTTGCCATAGAGGTCAAAATATCAGCCAAGAAAAAGTCGGAAAAAGTTATTGCCTGCATTCACCATAACAATTAAATACAACATATCCACATAATATAAAAGCAAGAAATAAAATATAAAAAAGAATGTGCCCCTCTTTTTTGTGAGGTTTGGATGAGCATGGCCAAACATAGAAGATTGTTAGTTCATGGTCTGCATACATGCAGCCACTACAACAAGAATATAAGTTCCTATAGTACAAGGATTAGGATAGTTCACACGTAAAATTCTAGTTGCATCATGTACTAATAGGTTAAACATTATCAGGAACCACAAGATTAGTGCAGCCAAAGATCATCAACCAAGTTGAAAAACAAGACCCTTTTGCGTAAGTTCTTGGAAGAGTTAAAGTTGCAGACATAGATTTACACTAAAGTATGTCATGCACCTTTTCTTTGATCAAAGAAAAGAACATGAAGCAAAAATCAATTGAACTTCAAGACAAATAAATTCTGACTTGCTTATCAGTTTTAAAAACTTCCATACAAGTTAGATACCTACTTGCTATCTATTATTCAGAAGAACTTGACATGACTAATAACTTCCTTTGCAAAAGAGATATGCAACATAATGGACAAGTTAACAGATTACTTGCTAGGCTTCTTATATTTTGACAGGTAAATCTAATGGACAAGTTGATGGATAAGAAAGATATTTATTGAGCTTATAGTTTGAAATTTCATGACTCATGAGAATATAACAGATTGATAAGTTACTGATGGTATGAAAATTATCAGATATGTCCATAGAGATAACAGGCACACCTGTAGTGGAATAATTATCCGCCAAAGAGTCCTTAGCAAGTAGTAACGGGATGAAAAATAAAAGATGTCAAAAGGGAATATCAGAATCATCACAACTGCAAAATATAAAAGCACCTGCAGTAGAAAACATGTAAAATTTAGTGATGTGCAGAAATGGTAAGGAGTAAGTGTGCCTAGAACATCTCTTAAGAACGTGCTTTGGTGGAACTGTAACTGGGAAATCAGGAATGACCCTTCAGAATGAGGATAGGTTTTGTTTGTAGGCTTATCCTATATTAATCAGTAACAGAACCATGAAGAAAGTGCTGCAATTTGTTCTTCACGTTGAAGATGTTGAAACTATAATCAGCTTATCAGTCATGCAAGGAGCAAAAGAATTAGCATATAATAATACACATAGGAGAGGATGCATCTATTACACTGGTTGAGAGGCAGCCAATGATACTTCTCCATGAGAATAAAGATAAAGATATGCTGTCATACTAGTAGGAACAATGATGGTCATCCATGTAGCACACTGCAGTTACAACAATTGTAGAGAGTTATTTGGGGAAACTTACCAAGTACTATTATTAACAATAGCAATTGGGCTCTATGTAGATTGTAGACATTTCAAGCTAAAAATAAAAACTATATAAATAAAAAAAGAAAATGAAACTATTCCTTCAAAAGTAAAATGATCCTCTCTGTCTCTCTCACACACACATACAGAAATCAAAGCTAAAAATGAAAACTATAAATGGCTCCATCAAAATAATAAATCAGCTACACATACGTCAAATGTACTGAAATCCTATTAAAGAAGCAGGGATTTGGGACCAAGATAAATTTCACTAGTATATCAGAAATAAACTGCATTAGTTGTCAGCTACATCGTATATCACTTGAAACACAAGGCAAGCAACTACAGTTTATCCATAAAGTGATACTAGCATACGAGAGGGTGAACAGCACACAGCAGACAACTTCTAATCAAAACAACATCTAACAGATGTTAAATAGTACACACTTCAAACACAAGGCGAGCAAATATAATTTATCCATAAAATGATACCAGCATACAAGAGGGTGATCAGCATGTAGCAGAAAACTTCTGATCAAAACAACATCTACAGCTAGTTGGAAAATTCAATTACCTTCCATATTTCTCTATGAGTGAGATGATTCTGATGAAGATCAAAAATTTTGGCATAATTGACATTAGACTGAGAAAACACCCATAAATTGATTCCCCAAAGCCATACCATTGTAGTCTGCAATATCAAAACCAGAAGAAAAATCTCTTATCATGCAGGGTTCTTTTACACAACACACACACACATTCAAATTGGATAAAGAAGAGTTAGATTAACATAACATATTCTCTTTTAGAAAATCTTACTAACCACAAGAAGAAGAGGATTATAATACAAAAATGCCTCATATAGAAATAGGTCTCGTAAGTCCACACTCATTCTCATTACAGAATGCCATCCAATCTGCAATGTTTTGACATACACAATGAGAACTTGTAAGCAACATGAACAAATCTTATAGTCCTTTGATATTACTTCTATTAACATCAAATTTGAACTTTATAGCTTGAAATAAGTATTATATAAAATAAGACTAACCTTGCTACAGATGAAACCCCAGACCAAGAACAACAGAACCTGGATATCTAAATAGATCAGGATTCTAGAAAGTTGAGAAATTATAGATAAAAAAGGGGAAAACAATGTGGAGGAAACTTTTTTAACACATACCATAAAGATGCAGCTACTTTTCCATTTTGTAACTAAAGTAATGACAAAAATTGAATTCAAATCATGGAATGCATTTTTCTTTGAATTTAACCACTCTACATTTATTAAACAAATGAAAAGACCAAAAAAGAAGGAAACTAAATGGATAATTAACAGAAAGCATATAATTGAAAACAAACCTTGAGTCTCCATAATAATATAGGTGATGGCACTATTGCAACAGTAACCATTGGTATAGTTGCATTCTTCAATCCATTTACCTCTATGGGATGAAAGTGACTATTCTCAACACCATTTCCCAATTCGTCACCTAACAAATATTCTACAAATATTAGGTCTACGAAGCATAATTAAATAACAACAGCCTTTAATTCCAAGAGTCATGTGCTTATAATTCTTGTACCAATATCAGATACAACAACTCTGCTACCAGACTTTCTCAAATGCGGGCTATTGATAGGAGCTGCCACCGGACCTCCAAACATAGATGTATCTAGAAGATGGTAAAGCTATTAGCACCACTCCGGCTACACTACTAACCTGCAACACATAATATTGAATAGAAATATGGAAGAAAATAACAGCATATGGATAAGCATATCTTATATAATCGGTAGGCACGAGCATGTCATTTAACAAGCTTATATCTAAGTTCAGTGCTGACATTTCTTCCAAGAATGAGTTAACCAGACATTCTTAGGGTGAGATGGTCATTTAGAAAAAATGGGTTAGTTAATGCAACAGCATAGCAAATTTAGACAACATTACAAAGTAAAAACAGACATACATTAATTTAGTAAACCTTAATCCTACTGTTGATCACCCAACATTGTAAGCCAACCACATAACATCCAATTATATAATTAACCTTACATGCTTACATGCATAGAGTCCAAAGAGAATCAAGAAAAAGAAAAGAAAAATAAAATCCATACATAAAAGTTTAGCCTTACCTATCAAAGTTCCCGGCAATGATGTCCCCGATAAGAGAGCTTGGCGCTGCCCAATATCTAAAGAAACGAAAACAAATGGAAAACTAAGGAATTTCCAGTTCCTATAAAACAGGAAGAATTTGTTTCGGGTGAAGATATCAACTGCCACAATTTTCTGGGAAAGTTTTTTTTTTGGAACCCTGATCAGAACAGAATTATACTTAAAAAGAAAAAGTGTCGACAGATAATAATGCTTCGAATACTGCGATAGATTGAAATTCCGACTTCCTTTTATGGATCTCAAAACAACCTGAATTTTTGGGCTGCTTGAATGAATTATAAGGAAACGGAGCCAAAGGGTGATTAAATTGCTTTTGCAGGACCTGATTACAATGTAAAAGCAAGTGCGGGGTTGGATTTCGGATTCAAGGTAAAACATAAAGGCGTGTTTGGTTCGCTTTCATAAACGTGTTTTCGGGACCCGGCTGATGAAATTGTGAAAATGAGAAATGTTAAATTCGAAAGAGAAGCCTTATGTTTTTGTATTGTCCCTTAATTACTCCTTTAATATGTTGGCCCTATTGTTGTGTCGGTTTTCCATCAAAAGGAAATTGTTAATATCAAATTCCTATTTCTATGGGTTCAATATTTTTCCTTTTTTTCAAATCAATATGAATAATGTTTTCTTTTTTTACTTAAAATTGTTAAAATTTAAGTTTGATAATTAAAATTAAAAATCTAACATTTTACCTACAAATTACATAATTGTTAATTTAATTTTTTTCTCTCCCAATGATAAGAAAGAGAATTTCATAATATCAAATTCTTTCATAGCATTTTTAGTGCTTTTTAGGTAACTAGAATGAGAATACATGACAAATTTAAAATAAAACCTAATAATAAAATACAAAAATAAAACCAAAAAATATACGAAATTAACATGATTTAAAATTTTAATAAAAATTATATATGAGATTGATAAAAATGAAAAAATATATTTTGTATTTTGTACACCGATGTAAATTTAATATGATAATTTTTATATTTTAAATATATTTGATACTATATAAATACAATATAAATACATCAATAACATATTTTTTTATTAAGAATTTTAAACATAATTTATCATAAAGGTTGAACTTAAATTCATTTTAAAAGTTTTAAATTCATTTGATATTTATTAACTTTGATGAAATGACAAAATATGATACATTAACATCAAATTATTAAAAAAAAAAAAAAAAGGAATTGACGGACGTAACAAACAATCTCCCATTACCGATACCCTAAACCAAATTCCACATTTTAACTTTTGCATGGTGATAGGTGATAAAACAACATGGATAATCCGACAAACAGACCCAAGCCAACTCTTGTTTCCCAGTTCATGTAAATGGACATGGACCACACTTTGAGTTGAGTTGAGTCCAGTCTTATCATGCAGACCAGCTCTGATCTGCCGGTTGCTCGTTCGCATGCCTAATCTGGCCCTCCAGACATCTTTATTCTGGCCCAAAGTCCCCCCTTTACAGGTCTAAGAGTTTTTTTTTTTTTCATTAAAAAAAAGAGTTTAAAATTAATTTAAAAATATTACCACGCATTATCAAAAGTGGTTTACTCCCTTTCCACAAACGTAACAAAAGTGGTTTCACTGCCAGTTAAATTATTGCAAAGTTTACTACTTCCGAACACAGCAAGAGCATCTGCACATCTATTGCCCTCCCTCAAGACATGGAGAATCTTCTGGTTGCCAAGCTCCCTCAGGAGTTGCCTGCAATCGGAGATAAGAAGTTGAAACATAGGGTTAGGTAAACTCTGACTTTTAACCATAGAGTTGACTACAGAAGCATCAAGTTCAATTTCAAGGTTTTGGATTTAAGGTTCTTAGCCAGGACGGCTAGGATATTGGTTCTAATACCAATAAATCTAGAAGATCCTCTAATCCACTTCCCATTACGATCTCAAATAAGGGCTCCAGCACCAATTTTACCTGGGTTTCCTAGGAAAGACCCATCAATATTCAACTTACACCAACCGACTCTTGGAAGAGTCCATCGAATGGGAACAAAGGAGTTTGAAGTAATCGTGGCATCTTCCCCGGTTCATGGCAAAGTACTCTCTTGCGCCCTCGGCTGCTCTCCTAATGGTGTCCCGTTTGCTTATAATGCCTTTAAAAATTATATTGATATGTTCCCTCCAAATATCCCATAGTGTATGAATTTCAATCCCCAAGGAATCCCATTATCGTAGAATCCTTATTTGCATGACGCATTTCGAAACAAATCTGTAAAGAACAAATGTTCTTTCCATTCCAATTTAAGGTTATGACATCTATATTTATATTATGAGAGTACAAATGTCACGCTTTGGGAGGGTGCACTAGGCACATCAGACGCACCAGCACGCGAGCCAGAGGTTGAGGCCCGCACACCAGGTGCGTTGGCAGGTATTTACGCGCAAAGCTTAGGAAACGAGGCCAGAATGCCCACCTAGCTTGCAAGCCAGCCCGTGAGGGCAAGGCCTGGCCAGCAGGCTGCCCACACCACATTTAGAGGGGCCCAAGGTGGGAGATACGCAAGTGAAGCTTCTGAAAGCTTGCAGGATCAGCAGGAGCCTCCTGACAGATTTGGTTGATCCTAGAAATCAGGAGTTAGAATCCTGATTGATTGTAATCTTTGTAATCCCTTCATTTTAGCCTTTATTCTAAGGATATTGCCATTAAGTGTAGCTAGAGCCTCAACTATAAATAGAGGTTTGCTCCACCCTTATTTGTACACCATCAAACACTTCTGTTTCAGTGAATATAGAGCATATTCTAGCATTCTACCTTGTTATCATGTTTCTCTTTAACTTGCATAATCAGCCCTTCCCATTGTTCTAGTGCCCGCACGCTTGTGTTTTACGTTGACTTAGGCATAAAGGAGGAGATTCCAAGCCTAAGACCGCACGGATTCTGAGTCTAAGGTTGGAGCCCGTGACAGTTGGTATCAGAGCAAGTTCGGTTTTACGTGTTTATGTTGTGCAAGTTAGATCGTGATTAAGGAGATGGCATCCCAAAGCGACGTTGTTAGCCAACAACTAGAGGCCCAGGAGCAAGGGCGTTGAAGAGGCAGGAAAGCCAGTTCAAGAGATATATGGTCTACCATAGACGGTAGGCTGGCTAAGGTGGAGGTGACCATGGGCGACATAGGGGAGAAGGTTGAGGAAGTGGAAACTCACATTGCATCACTAGACTCCATGGGGGAGGAAATCCAAGGTGAGCTACAAGCAGCTCTCAATAAAGGCATGGACGTGATCACCCAAAGGAATAAAGCCTTGGAGGCTAAAGTGCTGACCTTACGCGTGGCATGGAAGCCATGCGCCAGCGGATGGAGGAGCTTGCCAGTGAGCTCGTTACTTGCAAGACTGCCATTGGGCATGTTTGTTGAAGTGTCCAAGTCCAGAATGGATGTCCCCAAGCCTAAGGAGTTCAAAGGGACTAGGACGACCAAGGAAGTAGACAACTACCTATGGGTATGTAGTAGTATTTTCAGGCCATGGGCATGCAGGATGAGACAATAAAGGTAAGCACCGCTGTTATGTATCTCACTGATGTAGCTTTATTGTGGTGGAGGCGCAGGTGTGATGATGTCAGGCATGAGAACGCCAAGATTGGAACTTGGGTAGAGTTCCAAAAAGAGTTTAGAGAGCAATTTTACCTGAAGTATGCTGATGATGAGGAGCGGGCAAAGTTATGCAGGTTGAGCCAGCAAGGGGACATAAGGGAGTATGTCCAAAAATTTTCTGAACTGATGCTACAGATCTCGAATCTAGACGAAAAAGATGCCTTATTTGCTTTCATGGATGGGTTGAAGCCGTGGGTGAAGCATGAGCTACAACGGAGGGAAGTTCATGACTTAGCTAAAGCCTCTGAACAAGTTCGAGTCTTCTAAGCCCAAGGGTAAGGGCAGGGACGATAAAGACCGAAAGAAGTAGTCCAAAAGGAAGGATCGTGACTAAGAGTCCAAGGATGGGGATCGAGACCGTTCGACCAAGGATGGCGAGAGGAAGCCACCAGCAGGCAAGTAGAAAGCAAAGGGGGACCGAGAGCCACTAGCATGCTACCTATGTGGAAGGAGCCACATAGCACGTAATTGCCCGTAAAAAGGTAAGTTGGCTGCTGTAAACAAGGAGTCTGACGAGGAGCCAGAGTCAGGGGCAGCAAAGCTTAGGTCGTTGGTGCTCAATGTTGTCCAGAGTAAGGGGAGCCGTAAGCTAAAAGGCTTGATGTTTGTAGATCTAATGGTTACGGGTCAGAAGGTGAATGCACTGGTGGACACAGGTGCCTCACATCTTTTTATTTTAGGTGATGGAGCCCGGAAGCTAGGACTAAAGGTGCAAAAAGGGACTAGTACCATTAAAACGGTGAACTTCAAAGAGGTTCCAGCCATTGGAGTAGCACGAGGAATGGAGTTACAGCTTAGAGACTGGAAAAGCAAGGAGACCATAGAGGTAATACCCCTTGATGACTATGAGTTTATGATTAGGTTGGATTTCTTTATTTGAATTAATGCCCTCATTGTGCCTTTTGCCAATTGTATTTACATCTTGGATACACGGTGCCAATGTCTAATACCATTGAGGAGAGGGTTTGGAGTTGGATCGCGGGTGGTGTCAGCCATCCAATTTGCCAAGGCGGTAAGCAGAGAAGAAAACACCTTCTTGGCAGCCCTGAAGTATGATGAGCCAAGGGAAAAGAAGATCGAGTCACCCTTAGAGGTGTTAAAGGTGCTAAAGACCTTTAGTGATGTGATGCCCGTAAAGCTATCTAGCCAGCTACCACCTAAGAGGGAGGTGGACCATAAGATCGAGCTGGTGTCCGAGGCCAAGCCACTAGTTAGAGCCCCTTACCGAATGTCCCCACCAGAGTTAAAGGAGTTAAAGAAGCAGCTCAAAAAGTTAGTTGATGCTAGCTTCATCAAGCCATCGAAGGCACCATATGGTGCACCGATTTTATTCCAACGCAAGCATGATGGGTCATTGTGGTTGTGCATAGACTATTGGGCTTTGAACAAGCTGATTGTCAAGAACAAGTACCTTATCCCACTCATTACGAACTTGTTCAGACCAACT